TGATCTAGATGTTGTAAGGCCAACTTTCTCGTTTTCTTCAAATCTTACTGATAAGTCTACACGTTCGGCAATTTCCCGTTTATCTATTCCTTCTTGATGAAGTGCAATAATTGCTTGCCTAGTAGTCAAACCTGACTCTCGTTGACCAGGAACACGAGGCAATTTTGATATTGAATAATTCTATTTAAAATTTGAAGGAGAGTTTCATAAAGCTTTATTTATAAGTTTTATATTATATTAATTATATTACTGAGATTTTTATCTGGCGTTTTATTTATAGAAATACTCTAAAATCATTTATTAGAGGAACATATAAACAATCGTGAATTTGTTGTTCTTAAAAATATCAAAAAAAATTTAAAATAAAATAAAATTAACACATTTAACTGGGATGGTTTTACCGGGGTTAAGGAAGAGGGTAGTCTCAGAAATCGAATTGAATAGAAACAAAAGATGTCCGTCTTCTTCCAGTACCAGCGTCATGTCGGAGCTAACAGCGGACGATTCGCATTAAATCTGAGCAGAGCTGTACATTGAATATGTTAAAAAGAATTCAGTACCTGTAGCAAACATAGCTACCCAAGTTTCTTTAAGCCCAAGAAAGATCAATGCCAACTTTGCACTGCTTATGAAAATGCAGATAAAGATGCAAAATCCAAAATGCAAGAAAAATACGATATGCACTCGAGTAATAAAATTATAGCTAGGACTTTAAAAGATAAAGGCAAAAACTTGGCAGTTGTGGATTTTCAAAAGGTATTGGTGACCCCTCAGTCAGAAGTTAAATTGCCACATACAATTTTACAATTTATGATATGGGCAATAATCAAGGATACTGTGTTTGGTACGAAGAGGTTGCAAAACGAGGCCCAAATGAAACGGTCATTTTAAAAACCACATATATCCCATTTTTAGGGAAATTGACTTTTTGACATTTTCGGGTTCCTTATAGGTAGTTCTATCCCTTCCGCAACAAAACGATATAAATCCATGTTTTTATCTTGTTTGTATAGCAAGCACGATTTGTCAGTACATGAGAAAAGAACGTATATCCGGGATGTATGTGGTTTTGTAAATAACTAGATTTCATGAGAGGTGAACTTGTGAGCAAGTCAGTAAAGCCGATCTCTGTTGTTGTTAGTTACTGTTGAAATCAAGATGGACACCAATGAACACGGTATTAGTGGAAAAAAACGTAGAAAAGGTGTGAAAGAAGTGACATATAAGTGTGAAGTTGTGAAAAAAGCTCGAATAAAAGGGGAAGAATATGTTAATCATAGAGGAATGAAAGTGGGAAAGATACAATCAGGCCGAGAGTGCAGCTAATGTGCTTACATGTTACAAGTTTAGGATTGCTATTGTCCAATTTTTTCTTAGGTGTAAAAAGAAATGTTTAAATAAAGTACCAGACGAGATAAAATTGGAGGTTTTCTCGAAGTTCAGAGATTTTAATACAAAGGATGAGCAGGATATTTATTTGCAAAATTTAATAATACTATCCAACGTAGACGTAGACCTGTACAGAAAGACAACATTAAAAGGAAAACCCATGATTCTGCATTCAAATATTCGTTGGTAACTTCTTCGAGCAAAATCGATTTATGTAAAGACGGGTTTCTTAAAATACATGGCATTAGTAACAATAGAGTACGGACACATTACAGGTTTGTTAGTTACGGGTAAATCACCCAAAGATCTTAGAGGAAAACACACGCCAAGCATTGCCAAGCCTGCACACATAATCGTAAAAATTGAAGAACACATCGAGTCATTTCCCGTAAAAAGAGCTCAATGTGAAAATAATGCATAAATTGTTTTGCTCTAAATACCCTAATTTGTCCATATCATATAAATTTAATTTGAAAATTTTTAAAGAATACGATCTTTCATTTGGAAGACTGCAAATCGATACGTGCACTACTTGCGAAGGACTTAATATAAAACTGAAATCAAATTTTTTGAACGACAGTGCAAAGCGTGTAGCAGCAGCCGAAAAGATGGTCCATCTGCGTAGAGCAAAATGTTTTATAACCACATGAAGAGTGTTACTGAACTCTGCCAAAAGGACCTAACCGTTGATGGATTATGTATAGATTACATGCAAAACTGAATGTTGTCTGTAGTTCCCATCCAAGATACATTCTATCTTCACCAGCTCACAGTTAATATTTTTAATATTCATCATTTGAAAACTGGGAAATCTTTGCTTTATATGTACCATGAAGTATTAGGAAAAAAGGGCCCTAATGAAGTATGTTCATTCATTGTTAACGCCGTAATGAAAGAAAAGCTTGTATCTGAAGATGTGAAACACTTTCACATTTTTTCAGATAGATGCCCCGGGCAAAATAAAAATCACACCACTATTCGAATGTGCTCTGCTTTCGTCGCAATGGGACGTTTTGACACAGTGGAGCAATACTTTCCCATTCGCGGACATTCATACATGCCTTGCGACCGTGACTTTGCAGTCATTAAAAGAAAACTGAAAAAAATTGACAGGATTTACACACCAAAACAATACTTGGAACTTATATTGGAATCCAGGAGCAAAAACAACTTCTCAGTTTACTTCATCGAATCTGATAATAGTGTTATTAAAGACTTCAAAGGATGGTGACCAAAATATTACAAAAGAACGGGCCTATCCTTGGAGACTGCTGGTAGAAACATTCCACGAGATCAGAAGCAACCATTTGCCGTGTCGAGTTTTAATCATTTTTCATACTCCAGTGCAACAAAAGGTTATGTAGTTGCACGTGATTTTATTCTTGGCTTGAACCAACATACCTTTAAACTGTCTATAAACAAGGAGGTTCCAGTTTTCCCAAGCCAAAAAGCTTATCCAGATGTAAACATCCCTATCAAAGACAAAAAGATGAAGTTCTTAAAAAAGTTTCAAGGTGTTGTTGAAGACGATGAAGTGTCAGGTGTACGAGAATTTTATAATGAAATTTTCCACTGGCCCACAACCGTAGCAACTGACAATGATGATGCTGACAATGTCTTAACATAATATACTTTCCTTATTTTGAGTTCGTTGAATATTGTATTAAGTTAAAAGTATTTGTCCACGACTACCTTATAATATATACCTTATGAATGAGTTTTCTAAAACAAAATGGTAGTCATTTTTCACGGAGTGAATAATAGCGGTGAATAATAATCATTATCCACGCGTAGCCATCTTGATCAGACTAATAATAATTATTTGAAACGTTAAAAGTTCAAAAAACGTCAATTTAATTCAATTTTTTAGGAGTTTCTAAATGTTTGACATTAAAAAAACCTAAACAAATTCCTTTTTTCGTATGATTTAAGCATAAATTGATTAATTTTCGTAAAGAAAACGACGTTTTATAAAACTGATATTTAATTTTGACAAATTGTTGTGAAGTTCGTTACAGTTAGTAACATTGAATTTGGGTCACATTGACGTTTAACCTTTATTCAAAAATTTATTTAAAAAATTAATTTATGGAATCAATTTCAATAGTCATGGACAAAGTATAGTATTCTACTCGCATATAATGAGCTATTATATGCTCATATAATAATATACTATTTATAATAAAGCAATTTCCAATTTTTTTCTCAGTGATTTTCAAAACAACATATATCCGACCTCTTTTTTTGGCCCAGTAAGAGTACAATAGGCCCTATATGTCATTTAGAAACCCTAAATGTAGCGTGTTGATGTATATTTTTCACTAAGAAAAACTAGATAGAAATAACGCAATGTCTGGAATGTTAAACACTTTTCTTTTATTTACTCAAAATCTTGGGAAATGGATTTATGTGGTTTTTAAAATAATCGATTCAAGTAGCTGTTTGTTACACTTTTTGGAAAAACTGAAAGAAAAGGGAGTCAACAAAGTGTTTCTCTATTCTGACAACTGTGGAGGGCAAAACAGAAATCGTTATATTTTCTCTATATTTGCTTATGCTGCTAACTAAATTGATTTTTAGAAAAAGGACATACCCAAAACGAATGTGACAGCATGCATTACATACAATATTTTCTAAATCACTAGATATTAAATTTTAGTTTTCGTTGCATGAGTCGATATGATTTTGCTTGATTAAGTTAAGATTCCTTTCAACCGAGATGTTATACATATTAGTTTTGATTAAAAATTAATATAATCAAAAAATAGTGTTATTAAAATTCTTTTAGATTTCATTGAAAATTTAGCCAGTAATTTTGATAAAACTTCAAAGAGTTAAATTGGTTTAAAATTTTAATTTTTCTGTGTAATTCAATTATTGATGAAAAATAGGTTGTAATATAGAAGATTCGGTCATGGTAAATTGTTTATGTAACGTTAATAGCAGAAGTTTAAAGTAAATTTCTGGGGGTGGTAAAACACGACGCAATTACACGAGTCATTATCCACGAAACGCTAAGGAGCAATGTAAGACGTAGAAAGACGTGGGGGCGCGACGTCGAGCGTTCCTTTCTTGCTGGAGTCACGTATAGCGGGCATTTGTTACCTTTTTATATATAACCGCGCATTTATTCGGAATAACGCCCGACAAAATGCAAACGTTCTACGGCGCCATTGTGCGCCGAGGAAAAAGAGAAAATTGCTTTTTAATTCCTTTTAGGCCTTTTTCTACGTGGCGTGGTTATTGGGAAAGCAAAATCTCGAGTCCCACCCTTTTCGAGAAAGTCGGTCGAGCCTAACATGTTTCTTTTTTAAAATTAAATAAAATATATGTGATATTGTTGATGTCAATGTCGATTTGTCAGGACTATTATGAATCGGATGTAGCGCGATACGTTGTGTTTCAACGGTTCCGACCAGCGAATGCTCAACAATACTGTTTGGATATATTTATTGACATCCCGTCAAAATATTCCGCACGAAATCGAATCGGTTAAATAGTCAAAACTGAAAAGAATAGGAAAAAATAAAACGAAAGAGAGAGAAAAAAAGAAAGAATAAAAACGAATATCTCCTTAGAGAAAACTCTAAAAGCGACATTTTCTTTTTCAGATCCACTCAAGGACCCGAATATCTGTGGAAGGCCGACGTGCAAAGGTAATTTTTTAGCGCTCTACAATTGCGGCAAATTGGCCCAGGGATCTTTTCTTTGTGCCCGAAATTGTCCCATTAGATTTTATAGTCCCACTAAATCAAGCTGTGGGGGTGCGGGGAGCTCCTCGTTTTACTTATTACTTTTGCTGTACTGCCGACGGGTTATACCTATATATGTTAAACATGAACCTGTTGAGGTGCCTAATAAATTCTAATGACCTCGACAACTTTTAGAAGTCCGTTTTGCCTCCCCGCTTAATGACCCTTGTAATTCGACGCGGCTTTTTCATTTAATTGCTCAATCTACAAACTAGACTCTATACCTACGTAACCGAATCGAAATCAAAATGAAAATCGAAATCGAATTTTAAACTGAAATCAAAATCAAAATCGGAATAGAAATCGTATACCCATCAACCAAATCCGAAATTGTAACTTTATTCCTCACTAATTATACATCGATTACCTAAAGCTTCGGTTTATGCATTAATTCTAAATTTAACGTGTTGAATTTATTATAAACCCGTGTAGGTGAAAATACAGTTAAAAATGTGACAAGCTTTACATCGCGAAATATTTTTGATAAATCCACGAATCGTGTTACGTTTTAAATATAATGTTACTGACTTTTTTTAATGCTTTTCCCATAACATTTTGTTAGTAGACAACATATTTTTATAATTAAAAAAAGAATCAAAAAATACACAGAGTGTCTCCGAAATACGTGTACAACGGAACACCAATTTGTGGCCCTTGCCTCAAAATAGATCGATTTAAGTTATCTGTATCCAAAATAGTAAATCAATTGAAACCATTTTTCAGAAGTGAGTTCCTAGGTTCAATGAACGTCTTTTTATGGTTTTTGATACAATTTTAGAAATACAGAAATGTATTTCTTTGAAATTTCTGAATAGCCCATTTAGTTCTGAAACTTTTTTGTCTCTCATAAGTAGACATCGGATTATATGCACTAATAATATGACGAAATATGCATGCAATTATGCTTTAAACAAGGGTCAAATATGCACAAAATATGCACTATAAAAATGCTTTTTTTTGTGACTTAGAGGGTTTAGAAAGGGCAGCGAGGAGACGGAGGGAGACAGGGAGAGGCTGGTTAAAAGAATAATAATGATAAGTTATAGTAATTGTATAAGGATTGGTATAAGTTATTACTAAATTATTATTCCTTTTTTTGTTTGCATTTATTTCAAGAAATCAGTAGCAATTAAAGTTAAAGTAATGTGTAATTTTTGCTACAATACACTCCACGTATTTTTGTAAGTTCTTTAATATTAATTTGTAAGCCGACAGAATTTAAAATATGGCGTCATCTCTGTAGTTATCTCTTGCGGCAGGCTTTGACCCGTGCCGTTTATAAATGCATTAATTTTCTTGATTTCTTCGATGCCTGGGGTTTTATGTAGTACAGCATTTAATTTGGCACGCACATTTTCCGATAGTGATATAGGAAGGGCATTTATCTGTTTGACAATTTTGTCTAATATTTCTATAGACTTGAACAGAGGAAGGTTTCGAGTTTCCAATTTTCCTATGGTGTCGGGTATGTTGCTGAAATGTGTTGTAATTAGAGCTATATTTTGTTTGATGGAAGCGTCTTCAAATCCTAACTGACTTGGATAAATTGCTGTGGACTCTGCAAATTGACCAACTACCTGCTTTATAGCCTCAAAATTCTCTGCATAAAATAATACAGCCTTCAACCAAGTACCCCATCCCGTTATTACAGGTTCGGGTTGATTTGGCAGTTGCTCTTTGTAAGCTTGTATACGCAATGGTGCTTTTAAAAACACTTTCTTTGTCGATGAAATCAATTTATTAACATTCGGAAACTCTTTCCTAACTTCTTCTGCAAATCGGTGAAGTCCATGTGCTAAACAGGTGACATGTATAAACTTTGCATAAAACACTTGTACAGATTGTCCAGCTTTTACCATATATGGAGCAGCGTCAGAAACAAAAACACATTTTTTTTCATTAATTGAAGCATCGGGAAACAATGATTTAATGGAATCATTAAATCAGAAGTTATAGTAATTCTATAAGGATTGGTATAAGTTATTACTAAATTATTATTACTTTTATGTTTGCATTTATTTCAAGAAATCAGTAGCAATTAAAGTTAGGGTAATGTGTAATTTTTGCTACAATACACTACCACGTATTTTTGTAAGTTCTCTACAGCAAACTTGTGACGTTTGTCGCCTAATATTAATTTGTAAGCCGACAGAATTTAAAATATGGCGTCATCTCTGCAGTTATCTCTTGCGGCAGGCTTTGACCCGTGCCGTTTATAAATGCATTAATTTTCTTGATTTCTTCGATGCCTGGGTTTTTATGTAGTACAGCATTTAATTTACCACGCACATTTTCCGATATTGATATAGGAAGGGCATTATCTGTTTGACAATTTTGTGTAATATTTCTATAGACTTAAACAGAGGAAGGTTTCGAGTTTCCAATTTTCCTATGGCGTCGGGTATGTTGCTGAAATGAGTTGTAATTAGAGCTATATTTTGTTTGATGGAAGCGTTTTCAAATGCTAACTGACTTGAATAAATTGCTGTGGACTCTGAACAAGCAAATTGCCCAACTACCTGCTTTATAGCCTCAAAATTCTCTGCATAAAACAATACAGCCTTCAACCAAGTACCCCATCCCGTTATTACAGGTTCGGGTTGATTTGGCAGTTGCTCTTTGTAAACTTGTATACGCAATGGTGCTTTTAAAAACACTTTCTATATCAATGAAATCAATTTATTAACATTCCGAAACTCTTTCCTAACTTCTTCTGCAAATCGGAGAAGTCCATGTGCTAAACAGGTGACATGTATAAACTTTGCATAAAACACTTGTAGAAATTGTCCAGCTTTTACCATATATGGAGCAGCGTCAGAAACAAAAACACATTTTTTTTCATTAATTGAAGCATTGGAAAACAATGATTTAATGGAATCATTTATGAATCGAGCTATATACCGTCCACATGAATTTGTTGCTTCATCAGCTGATATCCAGAGTAAATTGTTTGCAAGATCGGCACAGAATTCATTTAACATATCTTCATAGATTACTGACAGGTAGTTTTTTCGAGTTGTAGATTCTTCAGGGACTATCTGACTTGTATAGTATTTCTTAAGGAATCTCAGGCATACAGGATTATTTAGTTGATGAAATGGAATATTCCAACCAACAAAAAAATCACATAAATCTTTACTAAATTCCTTTTTGTTTGAGGAGTCCGAAGTAGAAGGCGTAATTAGAGTCAGTAGTTGTTGTTGACTTGTTGCATGGGAAGCAGTGGAGACATGTTGACCAATCTGATATTTTTTTGAAGAAGGTATTAGCTTATTACAAACTTTGCAGAAAATCACAGCACCATTACATGTAAATTGACCTGGATTCTTTTTCACCAGTGGCATCGCAAACACTTCGTAGATATACAAATATAGGGGTTAACTGAATGCGCATGGCACAAATTGTAAAAATCGCATTGTCTTATCTCTGTTCCCGTCTCTCTCATTGTCGACCATGATCGCACTCATCGGTGTATCTTCGATGAACGCAAAAAAATATAAATATGGAGTTATATGCGTTTGTATATGCAGATATGCAAGTGTATATAATCCGATGTCTACTCATAAGAATTGTATTACGTAAGTGCTTAAACCATAAAAAGGTATTTTTAAATATCTGCAAGCCTTGTTTACGTCATTTTAATTACAAAACCTCATCGTAGTTGGCACTGATTTCAACTAATTACAATTTATGTTTAACGTGAATACAATATCATTAATTGATCAAAAGCGTGAGAATGGTCCTGAAAGCATAGAGTGTTAGGAATAAACGTAGTCGTATTTAGTTGATTCAGTACGAGAAAGAAAAACTTTTAATCAATTCTAAGAAACAAAAGGTAACAATAAGCACAACAAGTAGGAAATATTTACTAAAATTGTTCGGAATGACCACCATTTTTCAAAAGATATTAATTTACTCGTTGTAAAAAGTTAATTTGCACTTTGTCCATTGTTTCGCGATTATTTAAAGAATTAAATGATAGGAAAATTTTTCTTAGTTTACTATCAATTGATGTAGAGGCATAGACTTTTGACTTTAATGCCCTCCAGAAAAAATAATTACACGGTGTAAAGTCTGGTCTTGCTTGATATTTTATTGGGGCATCAGCTCCCATTCCAATCTATCGACCAGGATACTGTTGGTTTAAATTTTGCCGAACAGCGTAAAATGTGGCGGACCACCATCGTGCATGAACCACATGTCTTAATAAATTTAAATAAACTGCGCCATTTAAGCGATTTGGTATTATTACCGGTCCTATGATGTTATTGCCAACAATTCCAGCCACACATTGACTTTGAATTGATGCTGATGATGGACTGCTGTTGTCATATGCTGATTTTGTTACGTATGTTAGTGGTAGCAGATCTGGTAAACGTTGCCTGATCTGTGAATAAAATCGTTCTACTAAAATATGGGTCGAGGATTCTTTCGCGAGTTGGCAGAAAGTCAAACGCATTTCGTGATCCACAGGTAAAAGCTCTTGCACTTTTTGAAGGTGGTATGGATGTAATAATTGTTCTTTTATTACCCTATGGACAACATCTTTAGAGACTCTAGTGGATTTGCAATGCGCCTCGTACTAATTTTAGGGTCTTCTGCCACTTTTTCAATATTATTAATTGATCAAAAGCGTGGGTCCTGAAAGCATACAGTGTTAGGAATAAACGTAGTCGTATTTAGTTGATTCAGTACGAGAACGAAAAATTTTTAATCAGTTCTAAAAAACAAAAGGTAATAATAAACACAACAAGTAGGAAATATTTACAAAAATTGTTCGGAATGACCACCATTTTTCAAAAGACATTAATTTACTCGTTGTAAAAAGTTAATTTGCACTTTGTCTATTGTTTCGCGATTATTTAAGGAATTAAATGCTAGCAAAATTTTTCTTCGTTTACTAT